CTTTTGGGCTTCAGACATTTCGACGAGGGATTATTTGGGACTTGTGACAAAGACTTGGTGTTGACGACATTCCCATCTCTCCACCTCTTCTTCGTCTGATCCCCTCCTCTTCGTCTGTGTATGTCTGGACCTGGCGCTTCCTTCCTGTGTATAGCGCCAGGCTCCTTCACACCTTGTGATGAGCATGATGTATGTTTGGTCTGCGTTGAAACATTGATTGGGCTAGTCATTGGTATTCTAGCATTCTGCTTCGCTATCTTGTACTACGTGAAAGGGGTCAGTCTCGGTCAGGTCAGGATTTGTATCTAAGTCTTCCCCGCGCTATAAAGCACCATTTTGTATGTATCGGACTGCACATTGCTTGTTGAGATTTTCCTTGAACTGCATTGTCCATTCAGTCCTTTTTATCACATTGCGGATCCTCGGTTTTGTATGTACATCGCCCAACTGGGCATGTAACAGTTGGTATCGGAACACCGCACGTGAATCAGGACAACCTGATCTGACACGTGTACGGGGACTAGGTAGCTGATTAGTCTTGATTGATTGATTAGAACACACTAGTTAGCCCCCAAAATCACGATTTTGACCGAACTGCCAAAAATCGAACATTTTTTCTTTTTCTTGGATTTTGTTTTCTCGCTATTTGTGTTGTGGAAAATCGCAATAGCGCAACATCTGAAATTTCCGTTTTCATTTTTCTTCTGAAAATTCGAAATTTCGTTGTCGAAAATCCGGAATATCTTTCTTTTTGAAAATTTCGATTTCCTGTTGCGGTTCCCTTTATTTGGAAACTCGGAATATTTTCGGAAATTCGTTTTTCTGAAAACGGTACGGGAAAATCCCTCTTGCAGTACCAGTTTCCAAACTGTGAATACTCTCATCTGAGTAAGTCCGAATACTTGTCATTTCTTTTCGGAATTTTTTTTTTCGCAGGATTCTGTTAGTCACAGTTCTATAATCATTTGCAGTCCGAAGTTCGAAAACGTTTTCTCATTGATAAGTTCGCACTTTAAGGGAGGTTGGGAGACCTACTGAACTTGCAAAACTCGGGATTTTTATTTTTCATGAATTTTTTTTTTTGCAAAGTTCAAACTTTTCTTTTTTGATTAGTGGCTCCTTCTGTGGGCGATTTTTCCCACCCACCCTCCCCACCTATGTTGTTGCCCCCTCTGGTCTTACCTTCTCTATCTGTCTCCGGGTACCCCCTGCGGCGGCATTGGTGAGTTGCCACGTCAGCAGGCCACGTCAGCAGGCCACGTCAGCAGGCCACGTCAGCAGGACACGCCAACAGACCACGTCAGCACCACGTCATCAGACCACGTCAGCCGACAGCAGTGCCACGTCAGCAGCAGGGCATACCACGTCAGCAGGGCCCCGGCCTGGTCTATGCTGTTGCATTCACAAACAGCCGTCATGGACCAGAGGTCCGGGGAAACAGACGAGGCCTATCAGGCCCGGATGCTGGCGTGGAGTACCGAAAGAAGGCAGATGACGCCGAGCAGGCACGTCTGCTGGCAATTAAACAGCAGCGCCAGCACGACGAGGCAGCAGCAAAGGCTGCTGATGAAGAACGAGTTCAACGGCGGGAGAAGATATTTAGCGGAGAGCAAACTTTGCTCACAATGGCAGCGGATTGGCGGGCCGAGGCCGAGAATGGCAAGATGGAGGATAGCGAAAACAAGATCGCTCTACTCCTCTCCCATCTCACGGACCTCCTGGCAACATGCATTACACAGCAGGAGGACATCCACAGCCTCGACGACGCGCTGACTCAAGTCCACAGCCGCCTCCGACAGCTGGAGCAGCAACCTGTCGCCGGCCCCGATGCCAGCTCTTCCAACACCTCCAATCGCCTCGAAGCATTGGAGATGGACGTCGGCTCCCTCAAGGACGGCGTGCAGTTACAGAAGACCGCAATGCAACAGTTGGAGCAGCGGATCTGTACTACCGCCAACAACTCGAGTTCGGGACTGCGCGAGACAGCTCCAAAGTTTGACGGGCAAAAGATCTTCTGCGACTCAACGAAGACAGATTCGATTCCATGGTTCCGCAAGTTCGAGCTCACGCTGCAGCTACACTACGTCAAAGAACACAAGCACCACGGGTACTTATATTCCCGATCCGGGGGCGCGTGCTAGGCATGGTTGGACAATCTCTTGTCCAAGTACGGAGTGGTAGCTGTCGACTTGCATACCAAGATCTGTTGGGATGATTTGAAGGCGGCGTAGCATAAGCGGTTCCAAGTAGAGCCGCCAGAGATCAAGGCAATGGACAAGCTAATGGTCTTCGAACAAGGCACACTGTCGGATGTCGACTGGATTGCCGAGTACCAATGCTTGACATCCGTCCCAAACATCCAGATGGGCTTCAAAGCCATTCACCACTATTTCATCTCAAGGTCGTGTCCAGCATTAAGCAATGCCCTGACTCACGTCGAGGACACCTTGACGACAACGACGGGACTCTTTGACAAGGCCGCGCAGATTATCATCACGAACAAGGAGGCTAAGAACCTGCGTTCGTCTGCGCCAGGCCCGAGCAGAGACCAGCATCGGCCAAAAGTGGCCGTGGTCGCGGCGGCAACGCCGTTTGACCAAACTAGCGAGGCCGTGTCTGCCAATGAAGGGGGCAGACTCGCAGCCGCCCAGGAAGGTGGCCGCTCCGGCAAAGGTCGAGGACGCGGCAAGACGAAGACAAACATCGCATCTAGCCCCGGGCCCGACGCAGCAGCTCCAGCCCCATGTCCTAGTACGGTCTCTCCGAGCAAGCATTCAAAGAGCGCACGAGATTTCACCATTGCCTATGGTGCAACAACGATCTACATGAGACAGTGGCCTGCCCGTAGAAAGACAAGGGCAAATCGGGAAACTGAGCACCGCCGAGAGTGACTCGATGACACTCTCGACGCCTTCGGAACCAGTCACTTCACGGGTGACCGCCCTTCGATTTGAGGCACATGCGGAAGTCGATAGTCCTCTTTTGTATTCTTTTGAGGACTATGCTGCCCGACTCGTTCCTACGGTGGGTACTCAAGCTCAAGGACAAGACGTGTGTGCGACATCTTCTCCGTCCGGCAGCGACAACTTATCGTCTTCAAGTGGTTCTTCACGGGATTCGGCGCGCGAGTTTAGCATAGAGGTATTGGACCCTCTCACGTCTGAGGACTTTGCATGGCTTCCTCTCCCGACCACGGGTCGCCTGCCGGGACCGCAATGCGCAACACTATGCGCTCATCTCCACACGTACTTATCCTTCTATGCACCACCAACTTTGTCGACGGATGACGAAGTCGCGGTGGGGGACATCCTTAAGTATGTTACCAAGGTGGCCCGCGAGTTTCGCATGCAGTGGTACGATGACAACAATGCAACGCTCATGCATGTCCGCATCCAGGTTGGGAAAGCGTCCTGCAGCACTTTGCTGGATAGCGGTGCGTCTCGCAATTTCATGAGCCAAACCTTTATGCAAAGGGTTGGCCTTGGCGCACAAGTTCGGAGAAAGGCAAACCCGACGGCGATCAAGTTGGCGGATGGAAAGACGCAGCAACTTCTCGACCGTTACATCGAGGCCGTACCGGTGTATTTCGCACCTCATGCATGCGAACCGGTGACGTTCGACATTTTGGACACGGACTTCGACATTATTTTGGGAATGCCTTGGCTCGCAAGTGCGGATCACATGGTCAACTTCCATCGGCGGACTCTTACCATCCGCGATAGTTTCGGCGCCGAAGTACCGTGTACTATTCCTCTTTCGCACCCTTCGATCCGGTGCCAAGTGGTGACGGCCAAATCATTCCGGGCGACTTGCGCTTACGAGCAACCCGAGGAAATCGGCCTATGTTTCCTACGGACTGTCGCGGTAGCTGACTCTTCACCTACGGAAGTGTCTTCGGACCCCCAGGTGGTGCGGTTGCTGGACGAGTTCGCCGACATCTTCGAGTCACCTACCGGTGTGTTGCTGGATCGACCGATCTTTCACGAGATCATTCTTGAGGCCGGTGCCGTGCCACCGAAAGGTTGCATCTATCGGATGAGCGAGGAGGAGCTTGAGGTCCTCCGCGCACAGCTCGACGATTTGTTGGCCAAGGGCTGGATCCGCCCTAGTAGCTCCCCATATGGAGCACCAGTTCTCTTCGTCCGGAAGAAGAACAAGGATCTACGATTGTGTATCGACTACCGCAAGCTTAACACGCAAATCGTCAGGAATGCGGGGCCTCTTCCTCGCATCGACGATCTTCTTGAGCGATTGGGCGGCGCGAAGTATTTTTATAAGTTGGATTTGAAGTCGGGATATCATCAAATCTCGATCCGGCAGAACGATCGCTACAAATCCGCGTTCAAGACGCGGTACAAACATTTTGAGTGGGTGGTCATGCCTTTTGGCCTCACCAACGCCCCGACGACCTTTCAAGCGGCAATGACCAACGAGTTCTGTGCAATGTTGGACCGGTTCGTGCTGGTCTACTTAGACGATATTCTCGTCTATAGCCGGATACTGGAGGATCATCTTGGGCATCTTCAACGAGTATTGGAGACGCTTCGCCGCGCCAAGTACAAGGCCAACCGCGACAAGTGCGAATTTGTCCGGCAAGAGCTGGAATACTTGGACCATTTTGTCACACCGGAGGGCACCAGTCTGCTATCGGACAAGATTCAAGCCATCCAAGAGTGGCCGGAGCCTCGGAACGTCACGGATGTCCGTTCATTCCTTGGCCTTGCCGGCTACTACCAACGTTTTATCAAAGGCTACTCGAAGATCGCGGCCCACTTGACCAAGCTTCAATGTGAGGATCGACCGTTTGACTTCGGAGAGGAGACGCGGGAATCATTTTTGGCTCTCAAAGCCGCGCTATTATCTGTGGAGGTCTTGCGCATATACGACCTGCTTTTGCCCTCATGCGTCACAACGGATGCGTCCGGCTATGGCATTGGTGCCGTCCTCGAGCAACACGATGGCGTGGATTGACACCCGGTCGAGTATTTCAGCAAGAAAGTGCCCGCCGTGCACTTCATTGACGATGTAGGCAAGAAGAAACTCCTCGCCTTCGTCCACGCGCTCAAGCAGTGGCGGCACTTCCTCCTTGGTCGAAGCCAATTCCGATGGGTAACGGAAAACAATCCATTGGTCTTTTACAAGACCCAAGACACCGTCAACAACACCATCGCTCGATGGATGACTGTCATCGACCAGTTCGACTTCTTTCCCGGTCACATTCCAGGGAAGTCGAACCGTTTTGCGGACGCTCTTTCACGTCCGGATCATTGTACCACGGTCTACTCAACCTTCGAGATTGACCACGACCTGCGGGACAGCTTCATCCGTGGCTACCAAGCCGACCCCGAGTTTCGCGACAAGTACGCGAATTGCTCCTCTCCTAATCCGGCGCCTTCTCACTACCGGATCCAAGAGGGGTACTTGCTTGTCCACACACGGGGGAAGGACCTTCTTTGCGTACCAAGTGACCCTCACTTGTGTACACGGCTTCTTCGCGAGTTCCACGATGCTCCCGCCACCGGACACTTTGGAGTCAATCGCACGATTGGCCGACTTCTCGAGCGATTTTGGTGGTCCGGCCTTCTCGGCGACGTGACACGCTATTGCGAGTCATGCGAGGTTTGCCGACGCTGCAAATCCCGCAACCATCGTCCATACGGCGAGTTGCGACCATTACCGGTCCCCTTGCGGCAAAGGGAAGTGATTGCCATAGACATTACCGGCCCGTTTCCCAAGCACAAGACCGGCGTGGATGGGATTCTCACGGTGGTCGACCGACTCACCAAGTTCGCCATGTTTTTGCCTTGCCGCTATCATGCCAAGGCACCGGATTTGGCCGAGGTTCTTTATGCCAGTTGGATTCGAACCAAGGGTTACCCCAAGGAAATCGTCTGCGACCGCGACACTCGGTTCATGCCGGATTTTTGGTTGGCGCTCATCAAACGATGGGGCTCATCTCTCAAGCCAAGTTCGGCTTGCCACCCCCAAACCGATGGCCAAACGGAGAGGGCGCATCACACTGCACAGGTTCTCCTTCGCACTCTCATCCGTCCCGACCAAAAGGATTGGGTCGAGCGGCTGTCGGATGTCGAGTTGGCCTACAACTCGTCCATCCACCCGGCTATCGGGATGTCGCCCTTTGAGTTCGAGCACGGCTCGCCGGTCACTTCGCCGTTGGACACCATCATTCCACGAATGCCCGAGAGCGACGACCATCTTCTTTTCTTGCGACGAATGCAAGAGCTACTTGTCAAGGCACGCGACCAGATGGCCAAAACGCAGCAACGCATGAGCCAACAGGCCAATCGCCAGCGTCTTCCTTGCCCATTCCGCGCCGGCGATCTCGTGTGGGTCTCCGCCGTGGAATTCAGCCTTGAACAAGACATCTCTCGCAAGCTCCTCCCGAAATGGATGGGGCCTTGGCCGATCGTGGCACCTGCTGGGGATGCACCCGAGGGACTTTCCTTCACCATTCAGGTGCCCGCCCACTTGCCCGTCTACCCGGTCTTTCATTGCTCCAAGTTGGCTTTTACACGCCAGCGGAACATGATGATTTTCCCGGGTGACGATCGCAAGACCCACCCTCTATGGACAATTTTCAAGAGGTCGGCGACATCATCTCCCAGCGACGCTACGGCAACAGGCCAACCGAGTACTTGGTACGTTTTGCATACTGCGCACACCGAGCTGACCGTTGGTTGACCCGTGCGGAACTTCAAGCAACAGCTCCAGACATTCTCGCACACTACGAACGCAAGATGCAAGGCAAGTCCGTCTCTTCGGCTCCACGCCCCGCCCGCGTCCAGGTGCCACCTTCAGATCGTCAGCTTCGCCCTCGCCCAGGCTTGACTTCATAAGGAGGGGGGGATGTTACATGTTGCGCCTGCACACGAGGGCCATTTTCCAGGCCCTGCGTCCTTCAGGCTAAAAGCCTTAATTTCAGGCCGAAAGCCTGAAATTTACGGCCTATAGGCCCCGTGTCTGTTCAGCTCGTAAAGCTAGAAACAGGGGCCTACAGGCCCTGTGTCGTTTCAGACTAAGAACGGCATGAGCCTTTTTAGCCTGAAACTGAGGGCCATTTTCGGGCCCTCATCAGACAGACCTGCCCCGGAACTCAGGCACCAAACCAGGGTTTTAGGAACAGGCTATTCTTGGCCTGTTCCCACGACAGCCTCAGCATTGAGCTACAGCGCCAGACCCTGGCCTAGTTTGGCATTGGCAAGGGCAGCCTCCTGGACTGCCCGCCCTGCAACTGCAGGCAGGCGGAGGCAGTCAGGAGGCAGGCCGAGGTAGTACATAGGGACTTCCCATGCACTTCACGGGTAGGCAGGAGGCAGTCAGTAGTCTTTAGGATTCGGCAGCAGCACTCTGGAGGAGCGCTGCAGGAGTAGTAATAGCGTTAGCATTAGTCTTCAGTGCTGGGCGCTAGTAGCGTTAGGTGTAGTCTTCAACGCTGGGCGCCATAGCTAGAGTAGTACAAGAGAGAGAGAGATTGGGCAGAGGTTAGGGATACTTACTTGCAGCGCCGTTGCTCCAGCTTCGTCTTCGAGGTACCTGCATCACAGCGCCAACTTCACAGGTTAGTACCTGGCTCGTGAGAGAGAGAGAGAGTTCTTCTTCTTCCTCTTCTCAGTCCACCATCTCCCTCTCACCCTCTC